GTGGGGACATGGATGGAGATGGGAATGGGGACGTGGGGACATGGGGACATGGGGCACGTGGCAAGGGAATGGAGGATTATGGGGACAAAATGATAGGGGATGTCGTTGGGGTGAGGAGGGGGATGCGAAGGGCCGCGGAAGGACGTGAGCGAGCAGTGGGACGGCAGAGCGGAGTAGGGGAGAAAGAAAGGGGCAAAAAGGGCCGCGAGGAGGAAAAGGGGAGACAGTGGGGACAGCTGTGAGGTGGTGACGCGGTGACATCCCCCTCCCCAGTGTACAAAGTGAAGGTGGTGGCGACAGAGGAGACATCATCCCACGACAACTACGTCATGAACATCCTCTCTGTCATCAAGATGGGTACGAGCACCCCGGGGACAGGGGACAAGGTCACCTGGAGGGACCTGGGAGTGTCACCCAGGGCTGGGGACGCCCCCGATGGGCTGGGGACACCCAAGGGTGCTTGGGGACACCGTGAGGTTTGGTGTCACCCAGGGCTGGGGACACCCCGGTGGGCTGGGGACACCCAAGGGGGCTTGGAGACACGATGAGGTTTGGTGCCACCCAGAATGGTTTGGGGACACCCAAGGGTTGATGTCACTCAGGGCTGGGGACACCCCGGTGGGCTGGGGACACCCAAGGGTCCTTGGGGACACCATGAAGTTTGGTGTCACCCAGGTGAGTTGGGGACACCCAAGAGTGCTTGGGGACACCACGAAGTTTGGTGTCACCCAGGTGAGTTGGGGACACCCAAGAGTGCTTGGGGACACCATGAGGTTTGGTGTCACCCAAAATGGCTTGGGGACACCATGAGGTTTGGTGCCACACAGATGGACTGGGGACACCCAAGGGTGCTTGGGGACACCGTGAGGTTTGATGTCACCCAGACGGGTTGGGGACACCCAAGGGTGTTTGGTGAACATCTGGAATGAACTGGTGAACTGGTGCCACCCACAGCTGGTGACAACAGTGGGGTGATGACACCCAGGGGTGGTGACAACAATGGGACGACGTCCCCAAAGATGCCCGTAGCTCCTGGGACCGGGGGCTCCTCATCGCAGAAGGTGTCACAGCCGGTGTCCCTGCCATGTTGGGGTGGCAATGTCACCTGTGTCACCTCTCCCTGGGACAGGCACCGACGAGGACCCACTTGGGAGCAACCGGACCTTCGTGAGCCACAAGCAGTGCCGGGACGCGCTGAGCCTCCAGAAGGGACAGGAATATCTGGTGTGGGGGCTGGCGTCCGACCTGTGGGTCACCGGCAGCCGGTAGGGACAGGGGGACGTGGGGACGTGGGGACGTGGGGACATGAAAACATGGGGATATGGGGGTGTGGGGACATGGGGACTTGGGGACGTGGGGACGTGGGGACATGGAGGCAGGGGGACATGAAAACATGGGGACATGGGGACATGGGGACATGAAAACGGGGACATGGGGACATGGGGACATGGGGACATGGGAACATGGAGGCATGGGGGCATGGGGGCGTGGGGACATGGGGACATGGGGACATGGGGATGTGGGGATGTGGGGATGTGGGGGTGAGGGGACATGGGGACGTGGGGACATGGAGACATGGGGACATGGGGGACATGGAGACATGGGGACATGGGGACATGGGGACGTGGGAACATGGAGACATGGAGGCATGGGGACATGGGGGCATGGGGACATGGAGACGTGGGAACATGGGGACATGGGGATTTGGGGATGTGGGGACATGAATACATGGGGACATGGGAACACAGGGACATGGGGACATGAAGACATGAGGACACAAGGACAAAGGGCCACGATCACAAAGGGACATGGGGACACAGGGACTTGGGGACATGGGGATGTGGGGACACAGGGACACGGGGACGTTGCCGCCCGACGTACGTTCACACCTCGCTGCACCCCGAGCTTCTCCAGCGTCTCGTTCAGGGTTGCGCGCCTCTCACCGGGCCGCCAGCCCCTTCCTGACCCCTGCTGTCCCCTGCTGTCCCCTGCTGTCCCCTGCTGTCCCCAGCTTCTCCTACCTCATCGGCAAGGACACGTGGCTGGAAGCCTGGCCCTTGGAGGAGTCGTGCCAGGACCCGGACCTGCAGGCGCTCTGCCAGGACTTCATCGAGTTCTCCGAGGCCATGACCATGTTTGGGTGCCCCTCCTGATGGGGTGTCACCTCCCCCCCCCCCTGTGTCCCCTCCCCCCCCCCCCCCCCCGATGTCATGCACCCTTTTTTCTCTCTTTTTTTTTTTAATGTTGTGGAGTGGGGGTGATTTAAAAACGTGTTCGTTCTGAAATTCTGCCTCTGGGCGCAGCGTGGGGACGTGGGGACACAACGAGGGGGGGAAACGGGGACACCGCAGAGAACAGTAGGGTGGAGAGGACGTCGGCGGTGTCCTGGGGACGTCACAGGG